TATGTGGCTCTCACGATAAAACTTAGCCTGTTGGTTCCCATGCTCCACAGCTCACTCCAAGTGATTTTATGCCGTTCTATACCTTCCCACCTCATCCAGTGGCCTTGTTGGGCTTGGGAGACTGCTCTAGCACATCTACAGCGCCTTGCAAAAGTATTCAGCAGTCTTTCCTAGCTGTCACTAGGCCTTTCCCTGATTGTTAGCTGCCCTTTCACAGCAGTCACTGGTTTAACCAGGTAGTTTAGTTTGCATAATAGTACTAGGTGTTATGTATTTAGCTGCACCATAGAACATTTTCCCTTCACTGTGAGTAGAACATAGCGAGACGCAGCAATTGTTACGCTCTGATTTTGGTTCAGCAAGAATCCAGGATCATGGCCTAATCCATGTCCGTGGTGCTTGCCTCAATGCCCAATAATCAGTCGTGAATTTACAATTGCTTTATAAGTGAAGGGGGAACAATGAGAAAACAACAATAAAATAAATAAATAAATAAATAAAAAAGGAGGGAAAATGACAACAGCAAAATCAAATGGCAAATATTAAAATTGAATCCATTTGCTTTATTTATGTATGTCAGCATACAGTCATTTATGTCATGGCACTGGCTGCCAAATAGAGAAAAAAGTTTGACTACAGCCCTTAGTGGAGTACCGAATCTTCCCTAGTGCAAGATGATACTAAAGATCCCTAATCTAATGACTAAAAGTAGGTGGAGATTTGTCCTTCCATTTACGCAATACAAGACGTCTGGCTATTAAAGTAGAAAAATAAATCATATTTTTTGTATTATTATCTAAACAGAATTTTGTTGTTAAACCAACTATTGCAAGAATAGGAGAAGGATTAATAGATAAATACAGAACTCCTGAAAGAAAATTAACCAATCAACCAAGAAATTAACAAGCTTAGAACAGGACTGAACAGTAACTTTTAAAAAGCCTGTCTCAAGATGCAGTGATCCGTTTCATTCATTTGTTTTCAGTTTTTGTGCTCTCTCCAGAGTGAATGAGTCCTGTACATGTGTGCGCTGCTACAGTAAATGCATCTTGTGTATGCCGCATTTATATGCGCTGAATACTGCAATTTTTATACTGCCAAGATTATGTTGTGTTTATAGACTAAAATTAGAAACATACATTAGCTGAACTCTGTTTTACATGTTGTTATTTGTAATAAACCATTTTACAGATGCGTTTTCAGACTTAAAGGGGTCATATGATGCTGCTAAAAATAACATTATTTTGTGTATTTGGTGTAATGACATGTGTTTATGCGGTTTAAGGTTCAAAAAACACATTATTTTTCACATAATGTACATTATTGTTTCTCCTCTATGCCCCGCCTTTCTGAAACGTGTCTAAACGTGTGCTGTGATTGGCCAGCTATCCAGTGCGTTGTGATTGGCCGAATACCTCAAGTGTGTGACGGAAATGTTACGCCCCTCACCATACTGTGATGCCCTGTCCGGCCGGAGCGACGAGACAAAAACATTAAAACCCATTATAAATGAGGCATTTGTTGCATCCAGTGGGGACATAATTACTGATTATAATGACTTATACGCTGCGTAAACATAAAATCATGTCTGCATTTCTGATTGGAGAAATGACAAACTACAAGCGCTACTCTACACTGCTCAAAACTCACGTTTGAATCATCAGTGGCAAATTTTTTAAATATAAAAAACGTACTTACAGGCTGTGAGTCAGAAGCGCCAGACTGTCCTTGCAAAGTTGGAACTGCCCCACTTTATAGAAACAGACACTGGCATTGTAGTCTACTCTCCCAGGATCAGGAAACAGTCCTCCATAAAATGCGCTGCACACATCTGAATATTTGGGTTGAAGTGTTCTGGAACAGTGTTGTAAATACAACTTAACACTGATTTCTGGCCGTGTCCTCTTTTGGAAGACCAAACAAAGACTTTAGTCTTTGCAACTTTACAGATCTTCTTTATGCACCAAGAGCTTGTAACACTCCAAAGAGAAAGGAACAATTGAAATCGCATCATATGACCCCTTTAAGTTGAACCACGGTGCAAGTGCGTGCTGAACCGTGGGTGGAGAATGGTGCAGTTCGATTTTTTTACTGAGAACTGTCACACCCCTAGTAGCTATAACTTTTAATTATAGAGAAGAACATTTTTAAGAAAAAATAAGAACATTCTTAAGAAAAAAGTGAAGAATATTTTGTATTCCCAAAAATGTATCAAGTTAGAAACCAAGAAGAAAATGGGCTGTTAAGAAGAAATTTCTTAAGAATGTTTTGTGAATTTGGTCATCTGTACTGAGACACTGATGATACACTGAACATGAAGAGTTCAGCTACATGAAAAGATCAAACAGATTCATAATTCCTGATTCTGATGTGTTTTATCTCCATCAGATTCCCATCAGCTCACTCTGGATCTGAACACAGTGAATAAACTCCTCCGTCTGTCTAAGAGCAACAGAGTGATTACTTACACTCTCACAGATCAGTCGTATCCTGATCATCCAGACAGATTTGATGTGTATTCTCAGGTGTTGTGTAGAGAGCGTGTGTGTGGACGCTGTTATTGGGAGATTGAGTGGAGTGGAGATTATGGTGTGCGTATATCAGTATCATATAAGAGCATCAGCAGGAAGGGACAGGGTAATGAATGTTTGTTTGGATGTAATGATCAGTCCTGGAGTTTGATCTGCTCTCCCTCCAGCTACTCATTCATACACAATAACATACAGACTGCTCTCTCTGTGAACCCCATCATCAGCAGGAGAATAGGAGTGTTTGTGGATAACAGTGCAGGAACTCTGTCCTTCTACAGCGTCTCTGACACAATGAGCCTCATCCACACAGTCCAGACCACATTCACTCAGACGCTCTATCCTGGGTTCTGGGTTGGCTCTATGGTTTTTGGTGTTGGATCATCAGTGAAACTGTGTTGATGAATCAGAATAGACTGACGAGAGATTCTACCCATAATGCTTTGAGCTGCATGATGAATCAGTAACAGTGAGATGTTATAGAGTCTCTTCTTTTCTCTTCATGACATTAATACTGCAGCTGAACTTCTGTCAGTGAAATCACATGTCAGAATAAATGTGTAATAAATCCTCATGTAAGATTTACAGATTATCTTCTCAAATACATAGCAAATAATTATGTAAAGCATGCACAAAGAAAAAATTAAAATAAAAACTTTTTTTGTCAAATTTGTTGTTTTTTTAATATACTAAACATGTTTTAATCCTCTTCTCTTTTTTGCCATTTTCTCAATGCTTCAGCCTGCTGTTCATACCATTTATGAAGTTTTTAAACATCAGAACTAAAATAATGTTTTGATAATAAAGTAGGAGTTATATGCATATGTCTCTCTCTCTCTCTCTCTTCAGAGGAAGTGTGCAATTACAGCTCTCTCGCTCTTGGCAAACATTAACCGCCTCTGAAGCATAAAACAGTGTGTGAGTCAAACGTTGACTTCCTGTTCGCTCTCATACACACACTTCAGTTCCCGATGGCTCGTGTAAAGTCTCGGCGGAGGCCCGATCGGGGATTCGCTCGCTCTTCCAGGTCCTGAACTTTCCTGAGGAACCTTTCCAAAGTCATCAGAAACTCCCAAAAATCAGCCCAGGAAACGCAAATGAGGTTCTGATGTAGTTTCTACGCTCTATCCATCACACACACACACACACACACTGGAGTTTAATATTACAAATGCATCATGGGACATTTGTTGTAGCCACATCCTGTATTAGCAGAGGAAATGGTCTGGTAATGGTTTACAAATGTTCCTCTCTCTCTGTCTGTTGTTCAGGTGTAATTATTCTCAGAGCGACTATGTGTTTCAGAGTCACCGTGACTCCAGAGCTGTAATGGATGTTTATCATCTCTTTCCTGTTCCTGTTCAGTCCAAAACACAAACATGAGCAAACAAACACACACAACACAATCTCACACACACAAAACAGCCATTGCTTGCTCTGACCGGTTCACTGATTTAACAGGATAAAAGAAACTATCAAACATTTGGAGCCTTGAGAACTATTCTAACTAGTAGTTTGCCAAGAGATAACCAGCCTTCCTTTTTTAGGGTCAAATTAGACCAATCTACATTTTTTTTATGTAATGAAAGACTAGTCTAAGTAGCTTATGCAACTGGCCGAGTGCACAAAGTGATAGTCTCTAAATTGCATAAAGGACACATTAACCCTATAAATCCTGCTGTATCATATTTAATACATGAACTTCCTCTAAATGATCAAACTCTGCTGTTAAACTCGTTTCTCACTCGATCTCCTGCATGTCTTCTGTCGTCTGATTGA